TCGGTAATCATTATTGGAAGAAAGATAAAGTCATGCAAAAAAGTAAGATATTTTGTAAGACAAAAAATATTGTAATAATGTAACTCGTTATCAAAAGTAAAGTATATTTAGCGCGCATTAATTATAATTGATCAATTAATAAACTGTAACGAGGAGTCAGTAAATTAGCTAGAAAATTAGATTGAAAGAGTAGCGCTATGATGTAATGAGCGCGCTGACCGTAATTAACGACGTTCTCGCATCTGAGAGGTGTCAAGAAGAGGTGAAGGACCCGACTCTCATGAAGTATGGCTCTCGAAGAGAGATGTGATCGGTACCCGGTGCTCGATCACAAAACGTAATTTCAACAAAGATGATTACGAATCCGTGGAGCTGACGAATTTGAGATGAAGCTCGCGCAACAATGGCCGAATTCAGTCGAGCGTTATTCGAACCGGCCAAGGTCGAGTCTTATGGAGACGTCATAATCAAGCGACCCTACCGCCGACATGAAAAAGGGCCCAAGGGCGGGCGTATGCCCCGGGCCATAGGTCGCCTGTAGCGCGGCGGTATATGCGAGCTGCAGTGAAATGAGTTTAATGAAAACAGTATTGTACTCGATCATTAATCATAGCAAGTCCCTGATAGCAACCATCTACAACCACCGACTCTCTATCTATCCTCCTTTCCCCTGCCAAAATATGCCTCTCTTTCTCTCTTTCTTTTCTCGTCGCTCTCCCTTGCCATCCTTTCTCGAATCTTTCATCCCTCTCTGCCTACGCTCTGGTCACTTTTTCATTCGACGATATGATATATCGTTGTTGAGTGGTGTGTTACACTGAGCTGCACGGAGTTATGAATACAAAATTCAATCTTTCCTAGTATCTCAAAATCGAACTATTAAAAATGTACTATTAAAAATGTTATGTATTTTTTAAAACATCTTTTTTTCATATTATTAATAGATATTGCACAGTACAGATGTAATTTTTTCTCTCAATGTACGTCTCTCTTCTAATATTTAAGCTTGCAAGGCTAATTTGTGTAATATTTAACAAAACGTGAGAAATTCTTTGTAGACTTCAAAAATTTTTGCATCCTAAAGGTGATCTTAAAATATTTTTGAAGAGTCACGAACGCGTATAGCCGTGTGCCTTATTTTGGGCCCACAACGTCATCTCTTTCGACTCTCGAAGGAAACGTCGGTCCCGCTTGACGACGCAACCCTCGATGCGACAATGGAGGTCCTGTCAGCGATACGGACTTGCATGGCTGGCATAGCTCTCAATTAACGTTTACGAACTGTTACGACTGTCTGCCCCGATCAACCGCCTTACAAGGACCAGAGGATAGAAAGCATAATTCAAATCACCTTGATCGCCGCGAGTAAATACGAATTCAATATGGTATCGCGGTCGCTGGAGATATGGCGCGAGTCACGCTACCTCGAATAGTATGTAACTTGCGACACGTCTTTCATTTATTTTGTGACTTGTTCTGGATTTATCTTGACGATTAAAGTATCTTAAATAAAAATTTTAATGTTTAAAAATATTTCTTTCAGTAACAAATAAATATTTAAACAAAATTTCATAGAAAAAAAATATATAATATTTTACTAGGTCATAAAAATGTAATAAGAAAATATCAATAACGGCGGCAACACAAAAAGTCGCTTTGTAGTAAGTTAGAAAAAAAAAATATAAATTACTCCGGAAGTTATTAGATGTTAAAAACATGATAAATATCCTAGATCATTGATATCATCGCACAAGCGCCATTTTGCTACGAAATTCCAGCCGACGGAAACAATCGGGACAAGAGAAGGAAGCCAAACCCACTTCGGCTGGCCGGGCGCGTTTTCAATTTCCAGGACCATCAATACGTCCCTTGGAATACCCCTCCCAGAGTGCTCCAATCTCTCTGGCTCGCGAAGTCCCCTCTCACTTTATACGCTGTCTCTCCTTCTCTCACCAGAAACGCCTCATGGATCGACATCGTTCTTTCTCTTTCTCTCTCTCGTTCTTTTTGGTCCCATCTCTCTTCCGCTCTGATAGGTTCGTCGATGGCGCCCCTCGTACCGAGGGGGATGTTGCGTACATCTATCATTTTACCAGACCCCGCCGGCTTCACGGATACATCGCAGGAACAAATGAACGCTAGCCATTTTGATGGTTTTATGAATATACTCTGCGAGCATGGAGGACGGGGCGAGAGGATCTGTTGTTTTCGTCAAGATCCTTCTTCTACATCGCATGGGTCGATCCTCTTCTCATCGCATTTCTCTCGGAGAGCCATCTTCCTCGGGCTCCTGGCACCGAAACGGAGTCGCCCTAATGGAGCCCGTCGCCTAGAAGAACTCGCTTCATTTGAATCGTGTCGATGAATTAAAAATTCATGTCAGTCACGACAGCTCGAGAAAGCGATCTCCTACTATTCGGGAATAAGGTGCCTTGTAACGATTCATCTTGCGCGATACGCATCCGCGTTGAAACAACTCGAACGAAGCAAGCGACTCTGTAAGCGGAAATTGATCGGGCTTTGTATCGTGTTTATTGCAGGCGTCTTCACTCAATAATTACGAATCATCACAGACTGATGAAATGCACAACGATACATGCAATCTAATGATATACAACGATGTATCAAGAGCGAATGTCGATCAAGATATCAAATAAAGTATTTATACAGGAATATCAATATAACTTTTTTTGTTGTTGCTTTGCTAAATGTAATCGACTCATCTTGTATTTTTTTAAATTAATATCAATAATATTTTTGCATAGATAGATCAATCAAGAACTACGTACGTAGAAAAAACAGACATAGGATATACGGAAAGGGAAACCATGACCACGTCTGTCAAGCATGGAAAAATTTGTTGTCTTCGCGACGAATGCTTTCCATCCTGAATCGCTTGATCAAACTTCCTCTTTCCTACTTTCTAGACTGACGTTCCTCTAAACGCCTCCATAATTCATTCCCGTTTCGCAGCGAGACGGAGTCGCTCTAATGGAGCCTGTCGCCGCGACGTGCACCGATCATTTAAATCTTGGCTCTGGATTAAAAATTTCTGCCAGTCACGGCGGCTTGAGATAATTGTACAACAGAAACATGCAACGTGCTTTACAGCAATTCACTTGCCTAGCTTCTTCCTAGTGACATCAACGTCGTTCTCAAATGGTACGACATGTTGACAAATATTCTACGTAGCAAGATCATTTATAGTGTTTTCATTGTATTATTCACTTTAAAGCTGATGATTATAAATCTTCCTACAGCTGTGTCTCACATATAATTTCAATTATTTATATCCATTAAAAACAAAGATCAAAAACAATGTATTGACATAGATATTATATCAACTGTAACATTCAAAATTGAACTTGTCAGAATTCCACCAACTTTAAATTTAGAAAAAGAAGTATAATACATGATTTAAGAGAATGTACGTGGTCAAATTTTCTCTTCTGACAGCGCATTGCCGATTTTGAATCATTGCCTGCCTTTACTTAAAACAATTCTGTGGTCAGACATTGGAACAATGCTTGTCAATAATCTGTCGCATTGCAAGATAGAGAGGGAGAAGACGAGAGACTGGACTCTTCTTTGTTCTCAACTGTTCGCGGATCGCGTCTCGGATCGATGTGTCGGCTTTCGATCGGGATCGAGGGTCTTCCCCGTGTTATTGGGCTCTTGAAGGCGGCGGCGAGCCCTCACAAAGATAGAACCCGCTGGAACAATGCGATCTTCGCGGAGGAAGAGGCCGATGGAGACGAAGCAGCGCATAGCGACGCCGGGAAAGAAATAAAGAAAGAAGAAACGCTGAGACTACTGAAGGTCGTGAGAAGAAGAGAGAAGCGAAGAAGCGAATGAAGAGAGGACGAGACAGAGAGGGAGACGAAGAACGTCGAGAAGTCTGATGGGCTACCCGCCCAGAACGTCGATGCACCGTCATTGTCGGTGACCATCGTATGGATGAGATCTCGTAGGCTCGAATCTGCCGGATACTTAAACGCACCTCATGTCCATCCACCAAAATGCTGCGAGCGAAGAAAAATCATCAATATCGAAAAACTTATCTTGTACGGAGAGAATTAACTGAAATCCAGTCAACTAAAGAGCTTCTTATATTTTTCATAGATTCAGATTATATTCATGATTGAAAAGTTAAAATAAATTTATTTATAGGTGATATTCAAGATTCAGAATTAAAAGACTCGTTGCTTTTAAAATAATAATAAAAGAAATTATTAGAGAATAATAGTACAAGAAAATAAATTGTACAATTGCTTTTATCTATTGTTATCTATCTGTTAAGCACAATATTTTGTTTGATTTATTTTCATTTATATATTATTCTAAATATTTTAATAACAGAGATTTGATCAATTCTCCAGATATAAAATAGAGGAAAGGATTATCATTTTTTCCGATAGTACCGAAACAAGTGCAACATAATTCATGATCTTTATCTTCATTAATAAAATATTAACCAATATTTTTCACAAATAAAAAAAATATTTATAAATAAAAAAAAAGTAATTGCAACATTTCTGTCGTTGTATAAAAATACACACGTCGGAGATAGATATAATACATCGTGAGACAAAACTACCTTAGTTCAGATATGCATATACTAGAGAAAGACAAGATCGATGGTCGATATGAACAGGGCTTAGAATATCGGTTGAGATCATCCGCGTGGGATGATTCCTAATCTCTCTTTGGGTCTACCGAACAGAGCCGCTATGTATTTGAAGTGGCTTAGTGTCTCTTATCGATCAGAGATTGATCATTCACGAGCGATTACGCGCGAACGCAGAAGCCATGCGCTAAAGAGCCGACATAAGAGATTTTTTTTAATACAATTTTTCGAAAAAAATTAAATTCACAAAAGATTCACGATATGTTGATATTTCAAAACGGATGAGCATTTCCTGAATAAACTTTATGCGGCATAAATCCGATGAAGTAGATGACAAGGAGATTGCCATTCGAACATCAAATTCGAATGCTCCAAAATCCACTATTAATCAAATTCCAGTATTAATCGAGCTAGTAGTGTCACATTTGTTCAATGTGTCATCATTTATTCATCTATTTTACGAATTGATATGAATCTATCTAGACAAGTATTTTATTGATGTTTATATTCTCATTGTATCGATTAGCTAATATTCTTGTTGAAATGTCAAAATATATGTTCCTTAAATCTACTACCAAACTGATTTTTAATGATACTCAAGAAAGAAAATAAAAACTATAAATAATAATCTTGAAATGTTGTCCAACATGTGCATAAATGCCCGGAAGCCAAATCTGGAAGTCTTTTTCTTCTGAAGTGTCACAGGGAATGTTGCTTCCTATTCGCACAATCCAATTGGTCGATGATTACCGAGAGGCAGAACGCAAAATGCGCGACGTCGCAAGGCATTCTTTAACATACAGATGCACGTCTGGAGCTTTCTATCTCTGATAATCGTCCGGGCGACACACAGGAAGACATCAATGGGCCCGTTGGCATATGGAGAAACGAACATTAAATTGAGTCCAAGGAAGCAAACGCTTCCTTCTAACATGCGTGAAAGCAGAAAGCGACGCATTCTCGAGAGACAATCACTTGTTAAACATTGTGACTGGGAACCCGAAACGATTCGAAATCGTGCATGTTTTCAATAAATAAATATGGCACAATATGCTAATTGGAAGGAAAAAAAATAAAAGCTTTTTCGTACCTTTTGATAAGTGGCATTAATAGCTTCTAAAGCTTTCAGCTTCTCAATTTCATCTGCTGATTCTTTTTCAGATGTAGATGGCTTTTTGGTAGGCGCCGTAGCCGGTTCTACCAGGGTAAATCCCAGGTCTACATCCTGCTTCCAAAGAACCTCAATCAGATCCATATCCTGAAATCGAGGATGCATATGATTATTGTATAAGATCAGCTATATCCATATTTATTTACTTCATTTTTTCCCCTTTTTTTTCAATGTGAATATAATATAATTTAATTTATTATTTTATTTTAATCCAATGCGTAATTCTTTAAAATAAAATGTAATTGTAATAAATTTTCACCTCTCCATTATCTAGTTACATGAAATAAAATACATGCGGGTTTCACTTTAAATGCAAATGAATGTGAGTATACGGGTGGAAATTTCTTTCGTTTTTATACTTAATTCTTTGGTATTCTTATCCTTATCTCAGAAATAATACTAAATCTATATTTATAATTATCGATTTTTATTTGATTATGCCAAAGAAATTAATATGAACAATTATTTCTGTTTATATTTGGTTATAATAGGCATTTTAACACAATTCTTTCAAGTATATATACATGTATAAAATTTTTACCAGATGCACATTTGATTAAAAAGAGTAGATAAAAAAACATAAAATGCATATATATTATTTAACAGGTAAATACATAATACATAATAAATAATTGAAAACTTTTGCAGGAAGGTCATGATAATCAATTTTAAAATTAATTTTATTTATTAACACGCGTGTCCATTAATTTTACGATGCACTCCTGATTAGCGTTTACGATTATAATTTTGCGCGAAGTAATCATAATATCGCTACCATCCTTCTAAAAGTCGCACGATTAATATTCCGATGCTTCCACAACGAAACGCCCTGCGCACGCGGCGCTTTCGTTTATGTTTATTTTACATAAGTTAATAACATCTGGCCTCGATCGCCGTTCAGGCCCAGTCTCGATCTCCGAGATTCATTTTTGTTGCGTCTCGGATGTCCCTCGCAGGGAGTCCCATCGACGAGTGTGTACAAAAGTGCATGATTAATGATGGTCGAGTATCGATGCATCTCGAAATGGAGGAGATCGAAGAAAGGACCCGGGAGAAGGGACCAATCACATGACGGGGCACAATCCTCGGGGCAGCTGCCCCGTGGGTTTTAATCGAGCCAATTTCGCCGAGTTCGTACTTTGAGCCTCGTTAACCAATCTACGGATTTTCCTCGCCAATCTAAAACCCTCTCCGAACTCGAGGCACTACATGAAATGATTAACATGTTCAGAGAGAAGCCGATCTATGTACCAGTTTGTATAAGTACCGTGGGAAAATCGTTGACTTAAAAAATATCGATCATATTACCTTTAGCAATATCTATAACGAGGATGCAATGTTTCTATGTATTAATTATTTTAAGAAAAATAAACACATTTCATACAATAAAAAGTAACTTTTCATATAAAACACACAATAATATATGTTTATAATATATAATTAGAGAGGATATAATATCAATATGAATTAATATTAATTTAATATGCTTTAATTGCTTATTTTTATTTTTTTAAGATATCCTTATTATATCTCCATAACGGGAATTTTAAATCTTGAATGTAAAGCAATTATTAAAAATTTGAATTGCAATTTAATATGAACAAGAATCACATCTTTATTGAAAATGTATTAGTATTACCTTTCGCACTCTTTTTGCTTATTCATTGTTTCCCCATTTACCGATAAACCGGCGCGGATGCGTAACGCTTGCTCGAACCGCCATGTTTACGGATTAAGTGACTAGCGGGACATACGCGAGTTCTTCGTCTTTGGCAGGCTTTTTCCGAGGTACTTCCGCGTCAATTATTGTTCGCGAACGCGTATTTAGGGCTCAAGTATTTCTATTGTATTCACCACTCGTTACACGGTACTTCATGGGCGTTCTCACATGGTACTATACCGCGAATATGCCGATACTTGAAACTGTAGCAATAGCTTTCGCTTCGTCAGCAACGTGCATGTGGGCTAAAACGACTCGATTCTTCGTCGAAGCATCGGCGAGACAGGAAACTACGCTTTATTCATACGACAAGCATATAAGTACGACATGTACATCTCGAGGAAGAAGCCGCGACTTTCATAACGCGACTCTTCTCAAAAACGTTACGTTAAAGGACAAGGCTCTTCGCGTAATATCTGAATAGACAATTGAATCAGGAAGTGATTAAATTTAATTTTTTCACGTTGAACAAGCATAGCAACTCGATCGCGATCTGTTTAATGTCCCAGAATAGTCCCTTCATTATTCAAAATCATTTTTCCTATTTTCTTTTATTCTTGACGAAGGGATAATGTGTCCCGAGAGATCAAGATACGTATATCAAAAAGACATTTTTTAGGGATTATTAAAAAGACAGTACATAAATAATAATATATTCTTCGCCAGTAGGAGTCTTTCAATTCATTGTAAAATTATTGTGTACAAATAGCTTGCACTAAAAATTATACAAAATTAATTTTAAAACAATTTCAATTTCGATGAAATATGAATAATAATTTTTAACACCTCTAATGTCTAAATTCCAAGGTAACACCATACTCATATAGGGTCACCAGCAGTTACAATGAAATCAATCACTTAGCCAAAGTTAACTACAACTGTCAACTAACGATCAAGATTCTGTCAACTGTCAACCAGTATTGCGCTATCACTAACAAATGAATTAGTACTATCTGCTAGTACTGGACCAGTAATTGTCAATATTACGCCAGTACCTGAATTCTAGTAATCAGTAATGGCCCAACATTGAGCTAAATGATTATAAAATCCTAAATATATAGCTTTATATATCTATATTATATTTTATATATCTATATTTTATAATTGTGGAAAACATTAAGACAAAATGTAACTTTAATAAATATTTATGTGAATAGTTAAACATTTGTTTATAGTAAATATTAACTCAATAAAAAATGATTGTTTAATCAAATTAATAGTTCTTCTATCAAATAAGTACATAAAAATCTTTATATTTAGCAAATATTTAGTTGGTTCACTATTTAAACAAATGATTTATTAAAATTTATATTTTATTTCAATGTATAGAAAAACGCAAATGTAATACATAAATCTTTATGCGTATATCGATACGTAAGTATACTAAAAATACGATTTTGCTGAAGCATCTAAAAATTTAGTTAGACATAGATCTGAAAACAATTTTATTGGACTACTAAAATAATTATGTAGAATACTTGAATTAGCTGATATTTGAATATTAAAACTTTTTGCAATATTGTTCATCATGCTTTCTATATTTTGATGGTCCAGTCAAATTATTTTCAGATCTATATTTAGCTAAATTTTTAGATTCTACTTCAGCAAAATCATTCTTTCTGTATACAATAACCGTTATTTATCATTCGCAAATGCCAAGTGAGAAAGTAGTGATTTTCTCGATCACGAAATATCATCTTCCATCCAATCCTCCATTACCACGCCCGTTCCTAATTAATCAGCGAATATGTTTGTGGACGTGCCCCAGTCGGGCAAAGACAAAGGGGCCGCGGCGCCATTAATCTCTCGGTATCGTTATCGGCGATCGCGAATTTGCGCGCGGCCGCCGACTGCCGCACCGCGGAGGGATGTAACGGATATGATTCCGTGCGGCGCGCTCTCGCGCGGGCGTAGCTTCGTAAATTACTTCGCTGACCGTGTAATTCGATGCGGCGAGAATTGAGAAAGGGGAGACCGGTGATGGTCAATGGGAGGCAAAGGGAGAGACACGGCGTGGGTGTGCGTATGACGTCGGCCATGTTGAAGAGACACAGCGGGATATCCGCCGCGCCCACAGTTGGGCTCCGCGGCGCGACGTCAAGAGTTACCTCTCGCTCGGCCCACGTTTTATACAGCGCAGCGCCGTGCTGCGATGCACGATGCACGATGCACGATGCACGATGCACGCCATGAGGCACGATGCACACACTCGCTCAAGTCCGATATATCGACGCCCTCAATTTCTATTCGATTTACATTGGCAGGTTGGGACCGAAGTCCTGAAAAAAGACTCGCGCCCGCGACTGTCCGATCAAAATGATCTCCGACGACGGTCGGCTATTGTAGTCAGCCTCATGTTCCTCTGCGGGCGAAAAATTTATATTCAATTCATATATGTATTCAAAATGAAAAGAGCTATGATGAGCTGATGATATATAGTGAAGGAATAATTGTCACGTATCTTTCATGATCTTACATGGGTCTAAAAACAATTCGAAAATTTAAATCGCTGTGTCAATAATTATGTAATTATATAATTTCTACCCGAAAAAAACAAATTTGCTGAATTTACTTAAATATTTAATTAAATACAGATTTTTGTTGAGCCATTAAAATAATTATATAAAAAATTTCAAATATGACGAGCTGCAAAAAATATTGACATTAAATTGATAATTATTTTGATAGTTCAATAAAATTATTTTCAAATCTGTAATTAGTTAAATTTTTAGAAACCTCAGTAAAATCATTCTTTGCATGTAAAAATAGAATATATCATTCGATCAAAAATGATTATCTTAAAATTTTGAGGGTACAAATGGGTGCCAGTAAGACGATTTGATCAGAGAAATCTGGTGAGATCAACCCGGCACAAAACGATAATGCAAAGGCAGAAGATATATCTAAGGATCAGTAATTACATGAGGTGGGCTCGTAATGGTCGACCACCGTTTATCTAGCATCTCTCCGATTGAATCGGATATGTCGCGGATAGGTTTCGCGAAACAGCGATGGCGAAACGGCTTCGATACACCGAGCACCAAACGTATCTCCATGAGTTATCTCGCAAAAAGCGATTGTTTTTGTGTCTAGCCATAACAGGTACAACGCTCCCGTTATTTCCGCGATTCTCATTGTAAAGATGAATCTTTACTTAGTTATCGTTGCACGTATCGAGTAATTACGGCCGGGCATCGATACGTTCAACTCTCTGTAACTGTAAATATAATTACAGCTCGCAAAGTCCAAAAAGATCAAGTTCAACTTTTTTGTTTTCAACTTCGGGCGAATAATAAATAGAGCTTGACAATGTTTTGCAGTGATTGTATTGGGTCGGAACAAGCGTTTGTAGCGTTACAAACTTCAA